AAGGAGATATTGGGGTGCATTGGGAAGTATGTCTGAAGCAGCCTTTAAAATAATGTCTGCTATTATCTTGTTAATGTCAGTCTATTATCATTTGGCAGGTGCCTGCTAGGCAATAAGACTAGAAAATTTGACACTAACTGAAGGGAACAATATTTTGTTGCTTCAAGAATCTAATAATTAGAAGGATTTTGGTGCTCAAGGGAGAGCGTTTAGCCAAACTATCTGGATAATTGCCTCATTTCAGTTTTATTGTGTATGCAGTCTCATTCATAGCACAGCATGGAGTCTGAAGTATTGATTATGGTGCGTCATGGGCTCCGGCCTTTTGAGTATCAGCATGCTATAAGAGTACCGATCGTCTGTGGTTACATACTCTGGGTTGGAGGCCAGGTCCAGCACCTTTCTGCGGTGCCCTGGACGCCATTCTAACTCTCTGAACCTTTAGATCTTCATGATTAAAATTGAGTTAAGTACTATCCTGTCTGTTTTAGAGGCTTGTGAGATGATTAAGTGAAAATGCTGTGTAAACTGTAAAACACTGTAAAAATGTATAACTTTATTATGGAAAATTATGGAAATTGTGTAATAAGGTTGATGATACTTATTGTTATATGGTCAACACAGATAATTTCTGGTTTTGGAAATACGCATTAAAGGGGGAAAAACAAACAAACCATAATTATTCTAAATTGGGAAAGAATATTCAAAGAAACAATTGGGATCATTAATTGAAGCCACTACCTAAAAACAGTTGTTTTATCAGGCTTTTAAAGGTTGGAGCCTAACCCAGACTAATGAAATCATTAATAAGAATTAAGGCTGTCAGATGGCGAAGGGATTACAAATAAGGAACAATTCTTTCCCAGGCACTGACTGAGTGCAAGAAGGCCTTTAGGTGATTTTAGCCTCGTTACAAATCACAAATACACTGGAACAGAGAAGACAATTAAAAGACAATAATGAGTACAAGCTCGGTGATCTTGCAGACGTCCAGAGGAAGGAAATGAGGTTCTAGAGAATTTAATAATTTTGAATTAAAGTCCTGAGTGGCATATGTGTAATTAATAATTCATGCACTTCAAAGAATTAGAGTATATTAATATTGACTTTACATGAAAGCTATCCTGTACTCTTGTTTTGATGACTTGAAAGCACTTCCAGTATCTCACAGCAGCTTAATTTAGGCTTTTATAAATGAAGACGTCATTGGAGATTAAGAACTAATATACACAGGATATTGCTGCTTTGTCAGTGATCGCCTACTCATAAAATGATGGTTAATAAGCCCTTCGACTCAACATTAGCTATTAGTTATCTGGTTATTTACATTACAAAAAAAAAACATTAATAGCTACGTTAGTACTGAGAATGTTGGGAGATACATTGTACACTCAGAATGTTTACTCTTACATTTTCATTGCATTAATTAATGAAATGCGAATGGTTTATATTTTTATAGACAGGAAAATTATATGATTTACTACCTTACTGCTTCATGCTGTATTTGTTTATTTTATTTTATTTTTTTGTAGATGTAAACACTACTTTTTTTGGTGTGTCAAGATCTGGAATATGTAGCATGTTGAATATGACCAATACTTCAAAAGTAATCAACTTTTTAAAACAACAGATCAGATAACTATATAGCAGACTCATTTTACCTGTAATAATAATTTTAAAGGCAAAAACAAAAAGGAAAGGGAAAATAATCTTGTACAAGTTTATACTATATTTTATATTATATTTGGCTTCAAATTGCATATATATTACATATATATTGAGCTTGTATATATATATATATATATATATATATATATATATATATCAAGCCTACACGCCTACACACACACACACACAGGTTAAATGTTAAAGTAAAGCAAATGGTTTTTAACATTTTGTTTTTATTTTGAACATCATTATAGCTATTGGATCCGACCTCTAAAATTAAATTATGTGGGCATGCTGAAAAAATACTGCACATTTGTAAAGTTGTTCTTTACAATAGATCTCATAATTTCTCAAAATTTAGAGCAATTCACATAAGTAAGCTACACAGCATCACTTTCAGTGAAACTATTATTGCATACTTATGAGGCTCTATTATAACTATTGGGTCGTTGGGAAAGTCTTGACACATTTTTGCAATGAAAAACATAGAAAAAATACGTCATGACATTTCAGACAACCCAATAGATTAAAAAGAATTGAGTCCAGTTTTTCTACAAAGCTGTTGCTTATATAATAATCACTTGAATAAATAGATATAAAAGAGCTTCAAAAATGCTTATTCAGTTGACCACAAAGTTGATCCTGAAAATATAGTTTCATTTAGGCTTGGAAATGAGACATTAAGGAAGAGCTTGAAGTCTGTGTGTCACAACCTGAGAGATCATTTTTGTTCAGCTCAAGCACTGCCTTTCAAGCAGATACTCTCTTTAGTATTAAGTATATGAGTTTTTTTGTTTTTTGGCAGTCATAGGAAATAAGTACCATTTCAGAACTATGTAAGTGTATAACTTACATATGAATCAAGTCAGAAAGCAGGCAATGATAAAAAAACAAAAGCTTAGTT